TTTTTTTTTTTCCTTTTTTCTTTTTTTTATGCACAGTATATAAGTGATTGTATAAAATGAAAATGAAAATGAAATAAAAATATCCAGTCTTAAAAAAAAAAAAAAAAATACCAATCAATGCAGGCCATGTGGCTTGGAAGCAGTCATTCCAAAACAGATGGAGTAAGGTTTTGATATAGGAAGCTTTGGAGAAAAAAATAGATGGTAGAAAACTTAGATAGCAGAAAAATTAGATGGTAGAAAACTCTTAACGTCTGCAGTGGTAGAACTGAAAAAAAACACATCTATTTGATTCGGCATATGGATGAAACTCCTGGGCCAAGGCGGCCTTTGTGCAGGGTCCCAACAGGGCAGATCCTTGGTTTTCAAGGAAGACCACATGATGCAACAGAGTCAAGAGGGCAGAAATGCTTTCTAACAACCGAGACTCTTAGAAGGGGCAGCCTATGAAGGGAGGCAGATACTCCCAACTTTCATAGAGGCAATTCTAGGCTGTTCTTTTGTTAAATGCACCATTCTAAAAGCACACCCTAGACCAGTGGTTCCCAAACTTGGCAACTTTAAGACTTGTGGACTTCAACTCCTAGAATTCTCCAGCTAGCTCTTCTGACTGGAGAACTCTGGGAGTTGAAGTCCACAAGTCTTAAAGTTGCCAAGTTTGGGAACCACTGCCCTAGACTTATATTTAAATATCGAAGAGGTCAAAATGCATTTTTTTTCCTTTTTTCTCTTCCCCTGAAGAAAACCAAAGGGGGTTTCCTCAGCTGCTCTGGGCCTGTGCTTGTCTCTACGCCACTGAGTGGGTTGTATTCTCCAATCTGTCAGCAACAGAGGCTACGTGGCATTAAAGGGTAAACCGCAGCCATCTTCTCACAGATCTTGCAATCAATGGAGTACAATAAACATTTCCTGATGTTGAAGCCAGTATTGGTTTTCAGGCATTTTCACATGCAATTAATAATTATGGGCTCTATTACAAATAACCACCGTTTGCATTACTTGTTTTTAAAGTCCTTCGCCGCTGATGAAAAGGACAATGGAGCCCTGTGGCTTAAAACTATCGGACTGGTTCATGCGCAGGGCCCAGTTCCAATCGGTGGCTCTGACCCAAGTGGAACATCATGGATGGCATCAATCATCCCTAGCAATTTATTCCACAGTGGCTAAATACAAGCCCACCAGAAGCCCATTTCTTCCTTCGTTGTGGCTCATCCCTTTATTGGGCAATATGGATCCCATGGTTGACGTCTGCATTTTGGTTTATCCTGAGCCTCTTTTACCTTTCAGCTTCCCTGA